AACTCTGTCGAGCGCGCACGATATACCTTTATGAAACGTCGGACAGCCTTCCATGGGAAGGCGGTTTCAAAAAAAAAAAAAGAGAAGACGATGCACTCTTCTTGATTCCACTGGATTGCTTTTCATGGACACCACTATTGATTGCATGATCTTTTATTTTCCATGAATTGCTGAGTGAATTATTCATGATCTCATGCCGTTGCCAGTTTCCTCAATCAGTGTGAATGAGGAAAACAAAATTTTGTTGGGGCCTTTTGAGGTTCAGGACCCTGCATTGAACCAGGGCCCCTCTCTCGACGTTGGGCTTAGCCCACCGTGCACGCCGCTGTCGCCGACAGCGGCAGATGGCAGCAGAGCTGAAAGATGGGCGAAGGTGATGAATCTGCCCCGTTCGACAGTAGGGCAGTGGCCTTTCATGCAGCTCATACTTGGAATGCTTATAAGAGATCGGTAGGCATCTTCCCGAGCCCTCCAGAACAAATGCATTCGCTCTTCAGGAGAAGCTGCCTCTTGCCTAGGCCGACAGGGCTCTTGCCCCCAGCGCCGGGTCCAGGGCCGATGGCCGCTTCATCCAGCTCCGGCCCAGATCTTGGAGCCTCGCAGTCAGCATTCCTTGCAGCGGGACTGAAGCCATTGTCAGCCCGAGATGCTCACCTAAGGTCTAAGGCCCTGGATGCTAATAGGAAGTGTGCCTTGAAGAAGTGGGTTACGCTTGTTTCCTTGGATTTTAACGCCTGGGGTGTAGCCAAGCAAGCCATGGGGCCTTTCGATCCCAAATTTGCCACAGGAGGCTTGGTGGAAAGTGTGCGGGACTGTCTTGCAGACAAAGCCACAGCTACCTTGCACCAACGCGTGGGACCCATCTTCAGATACGTGCACTTCTGGAAGCTTCAGTTCGTAGTGTGCCTGCCTGTGAGAGAGCACCAGCTCTACGATTACTTCAAGGCAAATCCGAATGCGGCCCCGACTTCGTTCAGGTCGCTGCTTATCGCTTTCAGCTTCGCCAAACATCTGCTAGGCTTGATCGTGTTGGACGAAGCCCTGAGCAGCGGGAGGATCGTAGGGCTTGCAAATGCTCATTACTCGACGAGGTGTGCAGTTAAGCGCAGGCCTGCTCTAACCGTGGAGCAAGTCAAGCGACTCGAAGCTCTCGTGCTCAGCCTCATGGCGCGGCCAATGGACCGAATCGCAGCTGGGTGTTTTCTGCTTATGATATATGGTCGCCTACGGTTTTCAGACATGCAACGCTCTTCAGGTTTCGCGATTGATTCAGCTTTGATTGATGGCGTGGAATCAGGGTACCTTGAAGGGCAAGCCGAGAGGACCAAGACATCGGTGTCGCTTGAAAGGAAGATCCGCTCTCTTCCCATCGCTGTTCCACTGAAATGTGTAGGAGGTAGGCCTTGGATCAGAGCATGGCTTGAGCTTCGAGAGGCAGAGGGTCTCGATAGTTCTTATCCTACACTTCCGTGCCCCGCAACCGGAGGCGGGTGGACAAGACTTCCGCTTAAGGTCTCAAGTGGAGGCGCCTGGCTGAGAAGCTTGATTCCTGGCGCGAGTGCAGCACCTGGCGACGTCCAGATCGCGACCCACTCTTGTAAGAGTACACCGCTCTCCTGGATGGCGAAAAGAGGCGTGCCGGCCGGCCCTCGTCGCACTCTGGGTTACCACGTGCCGCGTAAGGACAAGTCGTTAATCATTTATGCCAGGGATTCACTAGCGGCTCCATTGCGCGAGCTGGACCAGGTAATCGACGAGATTGCCTCCGGTAGATTCAAGCCGGATCTCACTCGAAGTGGGATGATAGCCAATTTTGCAGATCCACAGCTTCCACCTGAGAATGAGGAGGAGGCTGACGCCATATCATCGAGCTCTAGCGAGGCGTCCGATGATGAGGAAGAGGCCCCCGTGAGTGACGAGGAGCAGGCCTTGGAGCAGATCGCCGGTCAGTGGGGCCCCGAGCCCGGCGACGGGCCTTGGGCTCGTCACAAACAGACTAGGTTCTTGCACAAGGTGAGAGATGAGGCCGGGACCCACTTGAAGTGCGGTAGAGCGATCTCAGTGCGTTTTGAGATTTTAAGCGAGGCGCCAAGATTTATGTATCCTACGTGCGCCACCTGCTTTCCAAACTCCTGAGGTTCAAAAGCCGTGTCAGGAGTCAACGCCACGCGTGGGCGAAATTCGCGGGGTCTGAGAAAAGGCAACATGCAAATGTCACTTCGGTCGTGGATGAATAACCAGCGCGATCTCGTAGTGACTGCTTGTGTCTTGGAAGTGCAGAACTACAAGTGCTGCTTGAGCGATGCTTGTCACGTGAATTGTGTGATGCGCTAGGGAGCTACCGATGACAAAAGTGATTGCAAAGCGTGCTGGGCCCTAGTCTGAGCTTGACAGTCTAGAAAGAAAGAGCCATGTCGTTTGGAGAGAGTGCGGCTGTCTTCAAGGCGAGAGCCAAGGACATCGGAGTTTCTGATGAGAGCTTCGCGAAGCTTGAGGCGGAGGGACTGACAACGATGGCAACTTTCGCCTTCTGTTGTCATTTCAACCCGTCGGCGACAGACGAGAAACCTCTCACCGACCTGGTAACCAAGGTTCTCGGTGCTGCGCCTTCCCTTAAAGAGATGAGTTGCTTTCGGCGTCTGTTCGCCGAGGCATACGCAACTGTTGCATCCGACATCCGATCGCAGGTGGAAGCAACAGAAGACTCATCGATCAAGAAACTAGCTCCAGCAGACAGGGCCGAACGTTTGCGGGAGCAGCAGTCCAGACTTAAAGGTCTCGACTTGAGGGGCAATATGGAGCCAGGCGACTCCTTGATTGATCGGGCTGTGGCAATCTACGAATCTGACAGACTCCAGTATGTGGAGTGGCAGCATTCTGTTAGCAGACAGCATGAGCTTCTTACAGGGCTCAAGAAGGATGCTTCGCTTACCTTGGACTCTGCAGGCGGCCTAAAGATTGCCAGCAAGCCCAACGTGACTCCTTGTGATGTGTCCACTGACATGATGGTTCGCTACGCCTTAGTGCGAAGGGGCCTAGCCTTTGAACAGGCGAACATCTTGGCGTACCATTTGCACGATGAGTTGCTTGAAAAGTACATGTCTTTCAGGCTTATGGACCCTCCTCCGAATCATGCGCGAGTGAGCTTGAAACAGATTGAGCAAGCTGATCGTCAATTCACCATGTTGCTCGCGGAACACACCCGCGGCGGCATCAAGGTGAAGGCAGGAGGATCACGGCCATGTGACGGCGCTTTCCGCAAAGTGTTTGAGAGCACTGAGTTTCTTTCAATGCTGACTCCGAGGCCTCTTGCAGTAGGCTCAGGAGCAAGCCGCGATGGTTCCTCAGGCGATGAGCCCCCGATCAAGCGCCATAAGGGCAATGGCAAGGGCCAGGGCCGCGGGCGCGGGGGCAAGGGCGCCGGCAAGGGCTCAACCAATGCCAGAGTCCCGGCAGAGCTCCTCGCACTTGGGTGCGTGGCCGCTACGCCTAAGGGGCATGCCTTATGCTTCGACTATTCGCTAGGGAAATGCTCCCGAGCAGTGGCCAACCAAAGGTGCGACAGAGGACTGCACCTGTGCGCAGTCAAAGGATGCCATAGAGGGCACCCAGCCAAGGATTGCCCTGCGAAGAAGGCGCCCTCGTCGTGACTAATGAGTCAGACGAGCGCGCATGACCCACCATCGCCAGTGGCGCACGGTGGGCTAAATGTCACACAGAGCTATGGCTCAACTGTCGGTATGGAACCAACAGCTGAACAGTCGCTCAACGACTCCACTTGTTTTCCCCCGGAGCCGCCCCGTAAGGCGGCTAAATTAGATGATGCATTTGCGTTTTGCGAGTCTTTGGCAAGTCACTTTTTACAATCTTCCGACTTCAGTGCAAACAACATAGCGGCCATTTTGGACGCTTTTCCTTCCGAGGACCATACTCGGACCTGGCTGGAATCCGATGGCGACTCTAAGGCCATAACTGTCGGTGCATGCAACCGAGGAGGAGTCACCGCTGTTCGCAGCAACACGCGGCGCATGCCAGCAGTGGCACAGTATCTTGCCGAGTGTATCAGACTCGTCGCACCCCAATGCGAGTTCACATCTGTGTCTGTGCATCGGAACTTGCAAGCTCCGATGCATCAAGATTCCTTCAATAGCAGCGTGCCTAATGTTGTTGTGCCATTGTCCTCCTTCTCAGGTGGACACATCTTCGTCGTGCATCCTGAGGGTCCAGATCAAACCTTCTACGAAGATGCATCATGGACAGGCTTCAAACTTGATTGCGCTACTCATGCTTGGGCTTTTGATGCTAAGCATTGCAAACACTTCACCTTGCCGTGGCAGGGCTCCAGATCTCTTCTGGTTGCGTTTACCGTGGGTCATCTCTCCGGTTTAGCTCCCGATGATAGGGAATTCTTGACCTCCCTAGGGTTTAAGATCCCCGGCCGTGATGTCCAGCAGGGCCCCACCATGAAGCCGTACCCTTTGCAAGGCTACGATTTGCGGTGTCCTCAAGTATCCACTGATTCGGCGCCGTTGACTCAACCGAGTCCGGCCTTCCCCTCCGCTGAATTGCCTGCGGACGGGCCTCTAGTGATCGAGCTGTGCGCCGGGTCCGCCATCCTCAGTCAGACAGCCGCCAGCCGCGGCTTTGCAATCATGCCCGTGGATCATGCTCACAACCGCCACACACCTAAGTGCAAGATGGTCAATCTGGACTTGACCCAGAGCCATTCCTGGGAGGTCCTCAAGTTTGTCATCAAATCCCGTCGTGTTGCCATGGTGTTTGCGGCTCCGCCTTGCGGCACTTGCAGTGCTGCTCGTCACTTTCGCCCGGGCCCCCCAGTGCTCCGCACCACTTCACATCCGTGGGGTGTCCCGTGGGCCTCCACCAGAGATTGTGTCAAGCTCAAAGCTGCCAATGCCATATACAAGCAACTATGCGCTTTTCTTGAATTGTGCGATCAGCACTCTGTGCCTTGGTGCGTCGAAAACCCCACTAACAGCACCTTTTGGGAGTTGCCATGTCTTGCGTACCCTTTGGCTCATGGTTTCTTCGCGCATTGCCAGGCTTGCGCTTTCGGCAGCGAACGAGATAAGAAAACATCTTTCTTGTGCAGCAGCTCGGGCATCTCTCGCATGGCTCTGATGTGCCCCGGCTGTAAACAACATGCAACGTGGGGCCTTACTTCTGATGACACCTTCGCCACAGCGGAGGAAGCAGCCTATCCTCCGGCCATGTGCCAGGCCTTGTGTGATGTCTTTGAGTCGGAGGCTGCCAGGCTCAACTACGTGTTGGGCTCGGCTCAGCCACTTTTGGCTCGAGCCCATAAGCAGCCGCGAGGACGCCTACACCCACGGCTCTTGTCAGAGCACGCTGCAGTTCTATCCCGCCTCCTGCCCCGGGCCCCGCCTCTTAATCACAAGCGATGTCTTACACAGGATGTGCACGGTGTCCCCGCAGGGAGCAAGCTCTTGCGTTCCGAAGATAGGGGGAATAAGGGTCTCTTCTGTGTTTTCGGGGTCTTTAGGAGCCCAGAGTCTTTCGTCAGAGAGGCCAAGCTGCTATATCATCCTTTTGACTCTCTTGCGCAGTTGCCGGACTACTTGATCAAATCCCTGTTTGAGCAGCTGACAAAATCCCCTGCAGAGATCTGCAAGTTGAGACTTCTTCGTCTGCAAAAGTGGAGGGCCAGAGCGACTGAGCTGGCGCCAGTCGAGCACGCTCACCGTGCCAAGATGCAACCGTCCGTGAAGGAGATCCTCGCCAACAAGCGGACGGCGCTACTGGAGGAGATGGCGGCCGAAATAGACTGGCCCGACAAGGGTCTCTTCTCTGAGATGCGCCAAGGCTTTCGCTTGGTTGGGTGCCTGAGCCCTTCTGGTGTGTTCAGGGAAGGAGGGTACCTCGCCTCCATCAGCGAATCCGAGTTGATGGAAAATGCAGACAGCATCAGAGCTTCTCTCCTGGCACGTGTGTCAGCCGATCCTCTTGACGAGAACGCCGAGGAGCTGTACGATGTAACTCTTCAGGAAGCTACCCAGAAAAAGTGGTTGGACGGGCCGATGACCCCAGGAGACATTGGAAAGAGATTCGAGGCGTGGATCCCGGTGCGCCGCTTCTGTGTTGTGCAAAAAGGACGCTTGAGACCGATTGACGACTTCAAGGAGAATCTTGTAAACCAAGCCTGCTCTACGAGCGAGCGAATCGTGCTTCAGGCGATGGACCATCTTTTATGGTCTCTTTCCGTGTTGTGCCACTTCTACCGGAAGCGAGGAGCAGTCGACTTTACCTTATCCTCCGGAGAGAGACTGACAGGTCTCGTCCATCCTGATTGGCAGAAGCCGGGGGCGAGCATGCAAGTCGCCACATTGGACTTGAAATCAGCATACAAACAACTACCGTTGAACCCTTGCGACTTCGACAAAAGTGTGGTGACCTTGAAGGATCCCAAGACAGGATCCATCTCGTGCTTTGTCATGCGCACGCTTCCATTCGGAGCGTTGGCCTCGGTGTACCACTTTCTGCGAGTCAGTTTGCTGTTGCATGCCCTAGGGTGCCACTTGGGAGCGTGCTGGTCAGCATACTTCGACGACTTCCCTATGGCGACTCACTCGCTGGTGGCCACGTCAACTTCGGCTTTAGTTAAGGGTTTCCTTAAGCTAGCGGGGTTTGACTTTGCAGAGGAGAAATGCACCCCCTTCTCTTCGGGTGTCGAAGTCTTGGGAGTTACTCTGGATGTGTCCCAGAGCTCGGAGGGCCTAATCAACATCAGGAACAAGCCGTCGCGGTGTGAGGAGCTTAATGCAGTGATCGAGGAAGTGCTCAGGGACAAGGCCTTAGTCCCTTGCCGACTGCCGTCCTTCATTGGCAAGCTCCAGTTCGCCGACGGCCAAATATGGGGCCGAGCAGGGCGCATGGCCATGCACGACCTTAGGTCTTTAGGGTTTACTTCCAGGATTCCGGTCTCCCTTGATGCCAGCGGGATCGAAGCGCTTAAGATTCTTCAGCAAAGATTGACGCATGGAAAGCCTCGTGTCATCCGTGCTGGGTGGAAAGAAAAGCCGATTCTGCTGTTCACAGACGGAGCACTGGAGGATGATAACCTTGATCACGGACCGGCTACTGTGGGGGCGGTCATGTTTAAACCGAATGAGCCCAACGTTCACGCTTTCGGATGCGAGGTGCCGGCAAACGTACTGTCTCATTGGAGATCCGATGGCAAGAAACATGTCATAGGTCTTGTGGAGCTTTACGGCGCCATTCTGGCTCTTCGGCATTGGCGCAAACACTTGGACGGCAGCCGAGTGATATTGTTTGTCGACAATTGGCCAGCACTTGATACTCTTGTCAAAGGAGATGCATCCGTCGCGATTTGGCGGGAAATTCTTATGATCCTTGAAAACCCGCAGGAAGCTTCACCGTGCTATTTATGGATAGCACGTGTGCCATCCGCGTCCAACATTGCAGACGCCCCGAGCCGTGGATCGCTTGCCGAGCTTAGCCACTGGTCTGTACGCGTGGAAGTGCCCAGGTGTCCGCTGTCGAAGGTTGCTCTGAAGTCGATTGTGTCTCAAGGCTAAAGCAGACTGGGGGATTTATGCTTCGAGGTGCACGGTTAAACCGGGCACGTCACGATGAGCTGTGGCTCATATCTTATGCCGGGCCGAGGGGCCCGGCAACAGGATTCATCCCCAGTTTGCCGATGAGCGTAAAACAATCGAGTGAGCAGCATGTCAGCAGTCGCCATTTTGATATATTTCGCAAATATGTTTGCTAGCCCAAATATCATTTCGGGCAATACTGAATGATTACCCTTGCAATTGTTTATATGACATAGTTCCTCAAAGGGGAATTGTACATGTCCCCACAATCGTGGTATTCTTATCTAGATGCTGATAACCTTTTTGAAACTCCGACGAACTTCATAAGAACTCTGTCGAGCGCGCACGATATACCTTTATGAAACGTCGGACAGCCTTCCATGGGAAGGCGGTTTCAAAAAAAAAAAAAGAGAAGACGATGCACTCTTCTTGATTCCACTGGATTGCTTTTCATGGACACCACTATTGATTGCATGATCTTTTATTTTCCATGAATTGCTGAGTGAATTATTCATGGTCTCATGCCGTTGCCAGTTTCCTCAATCAGTGTGAATGAGGAAAACAAAATTTTGTCCCGCCCGCCCAACCCTGGGGGGGATTTATGCTTCGAGGTGCACGGTTAAACCGGGCACGTCACGATGAGCTGTGGCTCATGTCTTATGCCGGGCCGAGGGTGGCTCATGTCTTATGCCGGGCCGAGGGGCCCGGCAACAGGATTTATGCTTCGAGGTGCACGGTTAAACCGGGCACGTCACGATGAGCTGTGGCTCATGTCTTATGCCGGGCCGAGGGGCCCGGCAACAGGATTCATCCCCAGTTTGCCGATGAGCGTAAAACAATCGAGTGAGCAGCATGTCAGCAGTCGCCATTTTGATATATTTCGCAAATATGTTTGCTAGCCCAAATATCATTTCGGGCAATACTGAATGATTACCCTTGCAATTGTTTATATGACATAGTTCCTCAAAGGGGAATTGTACATGTCCCCACAATCGTGGTATTCTTATCTAGATGCTGATAACCTTTTTGAAACTCCGACGAACTTCATAAGGTGACTTCGAAATTCGGTGCTTGGTATTTTCTCGAATCCGAGCGCTGATGCGCTCGTGTTCTCTTACGAGATCTTCCTCATCAGCAGGTTCCTCGTATTCGAGGTTGAGCTTGCTTCTGTTGACTCGATAATAGGTTTCTGTTTCGGGATCGAAGAGAACTAGGAATGTTTCCTTCTCCTTTTTAGGAGATTTTGGTTTTCTTGGCTCTTCGTCTGAACTCTGAACATATTCTGTTTCAGGCTTTGGTTGGTCAAGTTTGACCTTCTCAAGTTTCTCTGTGATCTCTTTCGTGGGAGATTCTTTCTTCTCCTCTGATGCTGCAGGTGCAGAGTTCGTCTTGTGAGACGGATTAACATCAACTCGGAGTTCTGAGGATGACGAAGATTTTGAGCTCTTTTCGCTCTTCTCGCTCTTTTCGCTTGACGCCGTCTCAGCGTCTGATTCTTCGTCACAATCCTGGTTAGGATCTGGTTCCTCAGGTTCCGTCTCTGTTCCAGAAGATTCTTCCTTGGGAGGAACTACGTTGGCAGAGGTATCCTGGACAGGTTCTGGAGGTTTGTGACCTGTCGTTATCTTAAGAACTTCAGTGGCGCTTCTGGTGCCATCGGAGTTCCAGAGCTGTCCCATAAGACTGTCCGGATCCTTGTCGGCCTCGGCCTGCCGGGCGAGCTTGGATCTCGGATGGATCTCCTTTGCAGTAGTTTCCGTGTTCGGAGGTACTTCACCTGCAGAAGCGGTTTGCTCCTGGTTTGGAGCTGTGTCAGCCTCTGTATTTGGCAGAGAGAAAGACTTCTTGTGAGAAGATCTAGCCTTGGGAGGCTCTGGAGGCAGATTTCGCCTTGACATCTTGCGAAGTGTCGATTCGATCTCCTTGCCGTAATTTGAGCACCATTTCTTCGACTCGTAAGTCGCTGACGGCATTTGTTCGGAGCAGTGGTCTGCCCACCATGGTCCGATGCTCTTGAGCTCATCGTATTGCGATGATACCCAGAGTGTTTCAGAGGGTGCAAATACGGCGCTAAGAGTACGGGCATGCACTACATCTGGTGTAGCAAACATCCCCGCTTGCGACTGCCACATGTTTGTGACTTCGTTCACTACGTTATTTGCGTCGAATACTAGGAGCAGTGCCTTGTTGGCACGCAGCAAAGTCGGATTAGGATTCGCCAGGGTTAGCGATGAAAACTGAACAGTGTCCCTATTGGAACGACTGTTTTCATTCACGAGAGCTTGAAGACCTGGTGAGGTCACCACCTGAGATAAGAGGTTTGATGGTACCAGACCATGCCTCAGGATTGAGGATAGTGCATGTAAGTCCGTGGCATGCATGATGTAACAAGGGTTGTTCTGTCGAACAAAATCTTCCATGCCTACGGGCCTTGGCGCGTTAGTGGAGAGACGCTGCGCATGGGACTGCACAGGATTGCTCCCCGTTGCCATGAAGTCTGAGATGGTCATGTGTGACCTTGGCCTCTCTTCTTCAGGATCTGGTTCTTCAGCTCTTGGTAGAGTTCTTCGTGAACCGTGTCCTCCCACTGCCGAGAGGTAAAGTTTGGTCATGGTCATCACATTTGCATCCTGTGGGATGGTAACGGCGGCAATTGTTGTTTCAGCCCTGCCATCTTGGTCATAAACCATAGTGACCACGAATCTGGACTTAGTGTTAAGTAAAACACCAAGCGCGATCTCTTGTGGTGAATATTGTGCGAGCTGTGCATCGGCCAACTTGGACATGTCCAGAAGATAATTGTGTTGGCCAGCAAAGAGATCTTGGCGCTGATTCTGAAGGTGTCTTGTTGAGTGTGCTAACCACCTTCCGACCTTGTTGGTCTTGGAGAGAATGTGGAAGCACATCTCTGGTGAGAGACCTGTTACCTCTACCAGTCTTGGCACTGAGGAGGAATAGTCATATTCTCCAGATGCATCAAGACTCACACATTGTTTTACCTCCTGTGGGAGGCCAGTCTGAAGATGATGTGCAAGCATCGTACAAAACTGGCGTGGATCACGAGCGTGATTGCCCACGTTGTTATCCCAGTATAAAAGGGGACTGTTGTCCCATGGTCCTTGGAGGACTCCTTCGTAGAGCCTGACTCCATGTTTGGAGATTGGAGTGAGCTTTGCTCGACTCGCATGGCCACATCGTAAGATCAGGTCAGCAAGATCTCTTGGACGCGGATTGAACACCTGTTGGTGACCCATGTAAATGTACGGAGGCTCGTTATTTTTCTCACGTTTGTGAAATCGGTGTCCACCGTGTTCGGTGTGTCGACGTGATGCGTCCCGACGAGACTCGGGGTAAGAGCTATCCATGTGTGGATGTCGCTCATGGTACGCCTGTTCTGCCCTTGGTAGGGCGTATCCATCACGGCTACGGAAATTTGATCGTGTGCTCATTACGGCACGATGACCAAACGGGATCAGGAATGCTTGGTTAGCTCAAAAGGCTAGTTGCTGTGAGGCTCGAGGCTGAAAGCGGCTGCGGATGGTATAGAACATAGAGTTCTCATGAACATGTCTGATCTTAAGGAAAACGCAGCTTGCAGACACAAATTTTCTTTTAGACGAAAAACAGTCTAAATAGAAAATCCAGCACATGGTTGTGCTACCAGCAAACAAGACTACCACCATGTTCCTTGGCAGTAAAATAATCGGTAAATCTCTGTTGAGACATCAATTCCAAGGAAGGCTACCGCTGTAGCGGCATTCCTAAGGTTGTCTATAATCCACCGAACAGTGAAAGCTTTATGTTGAAGGAGTTCACGGAAGGGTGGATGAATGTCTGTTTCTGGTAAGTTTCCTGTTTCCAGAGCCTTGATAAGCTCATCAGGTTGTGCCGAATGCTTTGTTAATGCATCAGCTAGGCAGTACTTCGAGCTTACATGAGCTAGATCATCTAGAGATCCAGAGTTGGATTCCTTACGAAGCATCTGTATAAGATGGTGAGTTTCCTTTTGCTCTGGAAGGTGTGTCGTGCCTGCTGTTGTCACAAGATTGTTCGCATCTGTTCTGATATGTATAGGTACGGTCTCTGATGAGAGATCTGCCCAAAGTCCCTTGAGGAACAGGCAGGTACCAAAGCAACGCATCAGTGCGTTAAGCTCTGCCACTGTTGTGGACATTGTGGTTGTCGTAATCTTGTGAGACTCATAGTCCACCAGGCTACCTCTCGAGGATGTTTCCTTGATAGAGGATTCAGAGAAATCATTCTTCTTGGAAGAAGCAGCTGCTGCTGATTGTTTCATTCCTTTTAGCTTCGGATTTCGATCTTCAGCAAGGAAAATAACATGTGCTCTCTGAGATGATTTGTCATCATTGTTCCTGTAGGAAGCATCAGGGTAACCGAGGATTCTGAGATTTCCTTTCAGCGGCCAAAAACGCAGTTCTACTTCGGTAGACTTCAAAATCCTAACAAGTTTGTTCAGTTCTCGAATATCACCGATAGTAGGCTTGGCAGCCTTGCTTGCACACCTACTGAAGCGATAACAGATGTGAGCTTGAGTCCGGCTTTGTAGCCAGTTGATCTGTCCCAAAACACTTCTATAAGCAGTGTGCTGCTGTGGTGTGCACTGTTGCTCATTGTTGAGCTTCTTGTCAAAAACAATTTCTTCTAGAGCTTCGACAGCTAGGTTCTGATTTACTGAGATATGTGCTGGTACTGATGCTGTAGCATCCTTCCAGACTAATCTCTGTCCTACAAACATAATATCATTCGTATCTTCAGAACCTACTGCAAATTCCTTTTTGATCGATTCTATCACGGCCTTACGAAAGGTGTCATCACCGGCCATGCACAGGTCATCTACATGCAAACAGACTACTCCATGTACCTGTCTACCCTTGGCATTGTTGCCTGCTATGGGATCTAGGAGATAGTCAATCGCTGATTCCATGGTCTTTGGCTGAGACTTCTTGAGCTCAGCATCT